CCCCAAAACCCCAAAACCCCTTGAGATAAGTATGAGTTCAAATTTGTAGATAAGTTATAATTTTGAGAGATCGTATAATAAATTTAATAGAATTCAAAATATGAAGTAAGTTATTTCGCAACATATAACTAACTCATTCCTATTATTATTAGCTCACAACACAACACTGACATCGCATTAAAAAAGAGTCTTATTGAAAAGAAATTAGAAGAGAGTGGAGAGAAACAAAGACTCGAGGAATATTTGAGACAAAAGCTGATTGAATGCGGCTGGAAAGACGAACTTAAGAAGTACTGTTTAGGTAAGTTAACGAGTGACACACTTGATTATTAAAGGAATTTACAATTTCCTAACGATTATTCAGAAACAATGCTAAAAATGTTGAAAAATATTGATTTCTTATTTTATTTCAGATTTAATCAGAAGCAAGGGACTTGAGAAGATCAATCTTGATGACCTAGTTGAAGAACTTCTTCCAAAGGGCAGAGCACTCGTTCCAACAAAGATCAAGGAGGACTTATTGGCCAGAATTAAGACTTATCTTGAAAATGATTCTGATTATAAGAGACTCACTGGCTATTGAGAAATTATTAGTATGTGAAAACCATGAAAATGGGGGAGCATGCATGAAAATTTAATATATGCATTATGAAGATGAATAATACTTTTGTGAAATAAAAGCTTAATTTAAATATTTTATATGAAACAGTGTCCGAAAGTTTCCTGAGAGGTTGTCAATCGGACAATGAAATCATATCCGCAGAGTCAATACATAATATGATGATTACATATCACACTGCGATCATTATATTTAAAATTCTTCAAAGGTGGCGTTTCCATTCGAGAAGGGCATCAAAGAGAGCTTGATGTTTCTGAGTATCTAATTTGTGATCGTTAAAAATGTCAGAGAGCTTCTTCTTTTGTCTCTCCTCTTCAGCCTTGGTTGGCTCCACAATGGCAGTTTGTTTTTGGATTTTCTTCATTAAATCCTTCAATGCCTTCTCTATAATTAAAAGTTAGAATAAGTCAAATCAAAAGCTATTCTGACAATAATATTGATAAATCAATAATATCAACTCAGAATTCAGTCATTGTAAAGTGAACTTACCATCATTCTTAGTGAAGAAGACTCTCTCGTCTCCCTTTTCCTTCTCATTGAGAGGAGCATTGCTAGCAAAAGCTCTCATGGAGAATTGTGGAAAAACAGAGGTTGCTCTGAGGGCAGAAGATCTAAGAACTGAATCTCTAAGTGCTTTACCTAACATTTTTTATTTTAATATTATATCTTTCTAAAATCTTGAGTCTAAATTTTCTCTCTGGGGTTTTGGGGTTTTGGGGTTTTGGGGTTTTGGGGTTTTGGGG